CGGGCGCGGGGCGGGACCGGGCGAGACCTTTAGCCCACGCCGGAGGGACCTTGTCCTCTCCACCAGGCCAGATGTCCCAGAAACCCGAGACTGGAGACTGAGTTTATGAAGTCCTCTTCTCCGATGAGCCCAAAGGGAGAGGGAGAAGATATCTCTCCACTTGAGACCTCCTAAAGCAGGCTGTTAAAATCCTAAACCCCTGGCCGTAAGCTTCCAAAAGCAGTAACACAACGGACTGTTTAAAGGTTATTTATTAAATATCTTCAATTCAAGGTTTCATTGTAACAAAGCTATGAAGGGTCTACCAACATTCAGAACAAACACTATTTTTAAATTATTTCTGTCATCATGCAAAAATTCTGCATCAAATGCCTTCCACTTCCTGTTTAAAAGGTAATTTTTAATAGTCTATTTTTTATCGTCTATAGATGCTGACATTAGCCCCAGAAGAGGAGTAAGAATGCTAAGAAGGAGGGCTGGAGCAGCCATATGAAGCTATGGGTCTCAATAAACTCTTAAGACCACGTCTTCAAGCCAGCAAAACCAAACCCTGCGGTGAAGGTGTCTGCAAGCTGGTACTGCAGGCTGCAGGGCAGGAAGGGGCAAGGGCCCAGGGGCTGGGGCATGCATGAGGTGCTTGAGGGGCCTGGCCAAATCCAAGCACCAGCACCTATGAATTTGCTCTCTTCTCAGCTGGCTCCAAAGTACACCTGTCGCTTTTGCCTCTTCTGGAAGCTCCTGCACCCCTTGAAGGTCGTCCAGGGGGCTAGAGTCTACCCACCTTTCCCCCAAAGCGCAGATAGTTGTGCAGATAAATATGCACAGTTGATTTGGGGGGAACCAAGGCCATGATCAATCTTTCTCCATTATCTTCTCTGTTATGCTTAGGGCATAGATCTTTTCTTGCTGGAATGGAACTCTTTGAGTACAGAGAGGGACAATGAATGTAGGAGCCTTGGCTCTGGATGCCTTTTTGAGAACATGCAGTGAGAGAGGGTGATGCCCATGCAGATTGTCCAACAGTAAGTCTAGACTTCAACTGGTTAGCAAAGGGGCCTCTTTAGAGAGGACACTTCCTCTTCTTGGCAGAGCAATCAGGTCAATCTCAAGAGACAGGGATGGACGTGCAGCAAGTGAAGAGTAAGAAGGGAGGCAGCCCTGAGAGCAGCCTGAATGCATAGAAACCACCACCACCTGTTATGCCACTGCCTCACTTCTCCCATCCCACAGGGCACTTGGCAGAGGGCCCAGGCCCAGATGAGGATGCCATGGGACCACCACTATGAAAAGGCAAGACTAAGATGGTCCAGATAAGCACAGAAACAGAACTGCCAAAGGCAGCAAGGAGAGCCCTGACTAGGGCCTGGTTCTGTCATTGCTAAGTTATTAAGAAAACAATCACGACACAAAACAGCAACACCTTCCCTTCCCAGCTGCAGGGATTGGGCCTCAAAATCAGGGCCCATGTGCATTGTGCATCCTATAGAAATGGATGAGTGAGTGCATGTCAGACTAACATGAGGTTTTTCATCAGCTTCACAGCGAGCCCACTTCTGCAGCACCAATTCTATTCCTTTCTACACTAAATCAAACAGTACGGCAAAGTCCGGGCCCTCAGTCCTAAGGCCACTGCTTCTCAACTGCTTTCATAGCAGGCGGGGAGCTCCGAGTTCTCTCCCAAGTAGGTCTGATGGCCACGGTGTTTTCCTCAGCCTCACTCTAGGCGCCTGTGCAGGTTCTGAAGAAGTCCGCTCCTAGACCTTGGGGTAAGCAGGCCACCTCAGGGGCTGCAATCACTTCATGGGCCTCAAAGCTCTGTCCAAGTCCTTGCCTGGTCCCCCCCGAGTCCATGGGGGCCTGAGGCCAAGCTCACCTCTTCAGGGCTGGTAGGTGAGCCCACTGTTCATGCCAGGATGGGTGTCACACAAACTCCTGCCTTCTTGCTGGCTCAAGGGCTATCGGTGATTTTAAAATGCATCATGGTACGGATTCCATTTTTTTAAACAACCTTTTTTTTCCCCCTTAAATGTAAAAAACACCTCGGTACAGCAGAGACAGACACGAAGGGCAGGCGGGAGGGCTGCATGCAGGGGCGTGCATTGGCTGCTGCCGCTTTGTAATTTAATTGTTTTAAACCTCAAACGAACAGGACTGCCGCTGTCACTCAGGCCCTCCAGAGCCACTGGCTTCGAAGGTTTGACCTCCAGCTGGAATCTCCTAATGCCCCTGTCAAAGAGGAAAAAAACAGTAACAGAATAGAGGACACTGAGCATGCAGATGAATTTCAGGATGTAATAAGCACACTACACACTTGGCCACTCTGCCCGAGAAGGTAAGAGGTGGGGAGAAGCTAACGTTTAAATATAGTACTGCCTCATGTCTGAGCACCCACTAAGTGCTTTACTTACAGTATCTTATTTTATCCTCACCAATTCCGAAGGTAGGCACCACTTTCCTTTCTTTTTAAAATTTTTTTGGTACGGAGGATTGAACTCAGGACCTTGCACTGTGAGGCAGGTGTGGTGCCACTGAGTTAAATCCTCCCCCTTCCCTTGCTGTCTGTCCTTTTTTTTTTTTGCTACCAGGGATCGAACTTGGGTCTTTGCACTTGTGAGGCAGGTGATGGCACCACTGAGCTAAATTCCCAGCCCTGCGCGCC